GCTGCAGCTCCCTCTGCTTCAGCATAATCTTAACACCCTTTGTGGCTGGTGACATTACTTATGTTTGCATATGTTGGGAGAGTATTTCCTGTATTAAGTAAATCTGGACAGGAATCCCAGCTCAGGAAAACAACTGTGGAAAAGTTGGATTGGATTGCTAAGACCTTGCTTATTTTTCATAACTTAGCAGCATCATTTCAAATGTCCAAAAAATAAGATGGTGCTGCTGGAGGAGATTGATAAGGCATCCCATAAAGCTGAAAGCAAAACATTGGCCCAGTGCTATTGGCAAGAGCCAATTTTAAGCAGAGGACCATTTTTATTACACCAGCCATAAAGCAAGCAGGCTGTACTCTTCACCATGAGTCACAGTTAGCTGTAGCAGCTGCTTTGTAACGGTGTCCGCATAGCCCCTTGATAAGGAGCTTACCCGTGTTGCCTGCCTGTTCTGCCCCGTGTTGCGCGTTGTCCCCTGCCCGAGGGAGGCTCCGAGGGCTGCCCGGAGCTGCAGGACCCCCAGAACCTGCCCTTCACCAACCCATGCCCGTGGCCAAGGTCCTTTGCAGCCGAAGCACCCGCTGCAGCTCGTGTCCAGCTGGGATAGGATCTGTCTCTTGTACTCGGTCGACCTACTCCCCAAGCAGGGCCAGGCTGGAAGCTGCTAGAAATGTGTCCACAGCCTTGTTTGCCGCTCCAGTGCTGAGAGCAAGGAAAGTACCGGCCCTTCTTAAGCAGTGGTTGTCCTCTTGAGAGGAAAATTAATTCCGTGCCTCTTGCCATATGAAGCTTGGGATACTCCCCGAGTCACTGCAGAGTGTGCAGGTACGTGTGGAGGCTTTGAAATCACCACAAATAACAGTAGCCTGAAAATAATCCCTTGAAGCACTATCACCTCAAACAGGCTGTGCTGGGACTTGCCACTCATGCTGAAAGCAAAGTACTGCTGTTTCCACATGCTGTTTTGGCATTGCTGGAATATAAAATGAATAGAACAGGCCTGCCATGCCCAGATAGATTCCCATGTAATTCCTTTCTGGGACTGGGAGAAGAGTGCCTGTCAATTGAATGTTTTTATTCAGCTTGCATCAATAATAAAGTAATATTTTTTTTTTTCAGTTTGGGAGCTATAATTCCAGATAATTGGGCATGACTTCCACTGGCCTGCCTCATTAATTTATATTACTGTATAAAGAAACAAATAACTGCTTAAGAGACACTGCGGATGTTTGATATAGTCCCTTAAAATTATAAAACTGATGTGGAGACTATCCCCCATGCATCTGAATTCTTAAATTAAAGCTTTTCTGTCTGTAGTGACTGTAGCATGTTTAGTAGTCTAAATGCATAGAACTTACACTTTATACCTCTGTTTGCTTATAAATAGGTGTACGTGGGTTTATGTGATTGCTTTTCCTGTCAGTAATCACATTGACATTAAGGGTGGTACCTAGGTGGGACACCTAGCAGGAAGAATCTAAGGGCACAGGTCTCAAAGGAGGTTGGTTGTTTTATTCAGGTCCTTATGAATTTTATATACTGATCATCCCAATGTTAAGTTCTTAATCCATCCCTTAATTAATGAATCATGTTTTTAGTATCAGACCTTGCAAATCCAGGTATTGGTGCATTGTACTGCTAGCATGTGTCACTTGGCTGCATTCTGGCATGTGACTTGTCATAGCTGTCGTGAAGAAGTGCCTCGGGAGTGACAGAAGTGCAAGTGGCAGCTTGAAGGGCCAGGGTAGAAGTGGCTAAAAAACGGGGCTTGTTTTGGATGAAAGTCTCAGCTTTTAAAAAATGCTCTTTCACTGACTGATTTGGGGAACATCTAATTAGTTCATGCTGTTCTTTGCGTTTGACTCTAATCTGCTTGCTTTTTTTGTAACATGTTTTAGTCCCCTTTAAAAGAGGTATAAGGGCTAGGATTATGATTTATTACATTCTGTGCCATCACATCTTGATTCAAGCTGTGTTCCTCATCCTTCAGAGGTAAAAATGAGAATTTCAAGAGGCACCAAAGTCCTGAATTGTCATCAAAAACATTTTACTACTTCTGTGCTCTTTGTAATCTTCAAGAGGAGTATAGAAGAAACCTCCATAGAGGGAGTAATGGAGAGACATCAGCTAGAATTAAGAATCTGCATTATTAGAAGCAAGTTAAGAGAGGATTTATGAGGCTGAGGGGCAGACCCGTTTAAGCTGTGTGAGGAGGAAAGCTTGAGGGCTGCCAGCACGTGTGCTGCTTGTCTTTGAAGCTCCCTGGTAAGCGATGGTTCTTAGGACAGAATATGTTGGTGGGCAAAGAGGACAGAGGATGGGAAGTTTAAAAAAAAAAAATACTTTAAGCTATGACCTCAGAGTATGGTTTAGTGAGCGGCTAGTAGCAACAAAGTTCATTTGTTAAAAAATGCAACAAAAAGGGAGAAAATGGATTGCCAAAATGATTTTGGCTAACTGCAGGAGTGCTAGATAATCTACTTGGCTGGCCTATGAACTTCTCTGTTTACTTGAAAAGGATTTCGGGGGCATGAAAACTTGGATATAAACTCTTCATTTGATGAAGAGACTGATCCTGAAAAACACTGCAGGATGAGCAATCCTGAAAGAGTTCAATTGCATTATCAAAGATGTGTGAAGGAAAAATGACAAAATAATCCAAAGGGTAGCGAGCAGTCTAAAAACATCTTCTAGTAAAAGCTGTTGTGTTCTTATTAAGCATTTTGATATGAAAATGTAAGTTGCTTATCTGCAACTTTGCTTCTTTTTGTGCCTTTTCTTTTTTTCCTCCTGGTATTTGTTGTCTCCATGGATTTTTTTTTTTTTTTTTCTTTAGACCACTTTCTTGTCCTGTTTCTGCTAAGCAGTAGGGAATGACATATTCAAGTATCAAATGTGAATTAATGCAACCAGTAAATATTAAGCACTTTCAAGTATTTGGAAGGAAACTTCTGTCTTTGGTATATTGTAAAGCAGATGTTATGTTTACAGCAAACTGTATACAGCACAATATGAATGATTTATTGAACAATCTTTGTTTTCAAACAATGCTTGCTATCTAAGAAAAAACCCTGCCAAAGTCTACATCTTCATGTGCATAAAAAATATTATTTCTCTCACCAGCAAAATATTTTATTACAATAGTAAAGGATTTTAACTACGAGTTGGAAGGGAAGATTTAGAAAAAGACTTAGAAAAAGCCACTACAGTTGAGTCTTGGAGTTAGAAGTGTGGTTTTGCTGGTGCTTTCTATTCATACAGCAAACACTTCACTGATGTATACCTATACCAGCAAAGCCTTTAAAATGTAAACTTGACCTTGTGGTTGTATCAGCATTTCAGTAAAAATAGCTTCTATGCTGAGTGTGTGTGCGTATAGACAAAACTGAAAAGCAATGGATGGAGAGGGGGAACAGGAAGGAGAAAGCCAGGCCTTCATGGTAGATCCAGCTGTAGGATTAAGTTCTCTAATCTTTCTATTCAAGCCCTCAATCTAGTGAAGCTGTTTGATGCAAACAACCAGCTTTACCTTGACCCTACCTGGGAGATACCCTGTGAGTCTGTATCTTCCTCTTCTGCTGTAATGAGACGAATTCTAATTTCCTCCTCTGTGGAGGCTGACATCCTGGCTTGAAGGAGTTCATCCCTGGTCTGCGGGAGCAGCGCAGGCACTGCCTGGGCTGGGACCTGGTCCTCCTTTGGCGACTCGCAAGATCAAACCCTAAAAGAGCAACTACATCAGTTTAGAGATCAACCCCCATCTTAAGGACTTGAATATTTGTTATATCTTTGCAAGAATATGATTTCTTCAACTCAAGTCAATATTATCAGAGTACTATCCCTTTTTAGAGCCTTAAATGCTAAGGATGCCATAAATCAAATTCCTTGCGTTGTAAAATGTACCGCTATCAGGATCAATGTTTTCCTGTTTGCCCTGGCAAGATATCAGTGCCTGGAAATGCCCCAGATGCTCCTCAGTGTCCTCATGAGGAGGGTTATTGGCCACTCGTCTCTGCTGCCTGAGCAGCCCAGGTGAAGAGCCCCTGGCCTGGTGCTGCCCAGCCGAGCCAGGCCAGCAAAGATCTGGCTATTTTAATAAAAAGGCACTGACATTTTTTCGTCTCTAGCAGAAATCTCTTGGGATGAAAGAATGTCTTCACTTGAAATATAGAAAAAGAACAACTGAAATAAATAGAACACCTGAAATTCTCTGCTTGTTTTGAAATCAAATCTAATTGCTACTGAAATAAATAAGTGCAAATTGTTTGCAGCAATGAAAAGAAATATCCTGTTGGGCAGGAAGTTGCATTTACTCTTGCTTGTAAAGGAAACATTTGATATTCCTGTTGACTACAAAGATTAAACTAGAGATTTATGTTAATGCAAAGGATTAAAAGAATCTTAATAACATGCATAAAGATGTAAATGTTCGCCTGCATTTTATCTTCCTGCAGATGAATATGCCATAGGGAAATATTGAAGGGGGAGAAAACATCCTCACGCTGAATTGCAACATCTGGTTTAATACTGCACTCACATGGGCATTAAGTTGTTTTCATCAGTGTGCTTTTGAGCAGTGCAGTGGCTTTTTTCCTAATTTAACTTATGACTATTGTGACTATGTATGGCCAGTTTTAAATACCTAGAGTATGACTTATTTTGTTACAGACTTCAAAGAATGGTAAGTCTATTCCTCAGTGGGTTTTTTTCCTGCTTATCTGTCACTTTCAAACATTCTTTTCAATGCAAACACAAGCCACATCAGCATGGAAAATTATGTGCTTTATTTGCGCGCACCCTGACGTGTGAGCTTATACATATATGTACATACATTTCATACAGACAAATTATAGAAAAAATATGATTTGAAAAAGGAGGCAATTAAGGTGAAGATGTAAACATCACTAGCCATTTATGTTTGTGTTTCTATGTTGCTCTTCAACCAATTGTTCACTAAAGAGACAAGTGTGTGTAAATATAACAGAGGCCACTTGCGTTTGTTATGCAAGTCAACAGATATGACCATAGAAGTGTCCCTGTTCTCAGATCAGTATAAATCTTCAAAAGGTTTGGAGTAGTTAAACATCAAATAATCCATATAATAAAAATCATAACTGCGTTGTCTTTGAGAAGGAGAAAGCTGTGCAAAGTACTGTTGTGTAATTTTAGTGGTAGTTCTTTCATCATTGGAATGCCTGTCTTTAAATTTAGGGAAAGTCAAATTCTGCGGAGCACCAATTAAGTGCAAGAAAAAGTTTGCATCTTCTTCCATGCTTTCAAATTTCCCAATGAAGTCATAGTCTATTAAACACGGGCTGCAAAGCCTGTTGACGTGATCCCAGTGGATGTCCATACCCACAGGCCTGTGCACATCAAGGAGATATTGAATGAACTCTTTAAATTTGACTCCAGAGCCTGTCCTTAATGCTTCTTTGGTGGCATTGACACGATACCTGGAAATGATGGCTTTTCCAAAAACAGGATGATAGTAGTTGTTTGGATGTTCAAACTTGTCCCGAAATGCGGACACCAACTTTTCAAAAGGCTCACGAATGAAAAGCATCTTGGTGTAAGTGTTGAGCCTGTGATAAATTCCTTTGCGATCAAACCCGTCCAGCTTTTTTAAGTAGTTTCCGTAGTGCACCGTGTTGTGCTGGATGTCTTTTGTGGAGGAAGCCAGCCCGTTCAGAACCATGAGCACCCGTTTCCAGTTAGAGCAGCCAGCTTTTGGTACTTCACAGTACAAAACTCTGTATTTATCTTCTACAAATATTCTAGAAACATGATAAGGAGTGATTATTCTTCTACTGTTACTCTTGTATTTAGAACAAGTTTCCCTCATTATCCTCTTTCTTTCTCTTTGGATCTGATAGAGGCTTTTCCATTTGTTGTTATTTCTATCCTCAGATCTGAGTGTGGGCAGGCTGAGAGTGGAGCTGTTCATTGAAATCAGAATAGGACTCCTCTTAATTACAAACCTCCTCCTCCGTTTATGGAGCCTCATGGAATTAATTTCCTCACCTTTCTGTCGCTGCCCTTTCATCGCAAGCGTGTTGCTGCCTTGCCTTCTGTCGGGGCTTTGGAGCTCAGCGGCCGCGTTCCCAGAAAGGTGCAATGAACTGCTCTGCTTTGCTGCTGCTCCTCCGTCTGCAGGGTTTCCCCTTAATCTTCCATCCTGGGTAGTGCTGGCAATGCAGTCCTGATGGAAAAATAGGTGGAAGATGTTACTAAACAGGAGAATTTGTTGCTACTAGCAACTTGTACAGCTTAATGCAGTCCTGCTCACACAGCTCTGTGCTGAGCAGAATAGTGCAGCAGGGAGCAATGCTGTGGGCCCTCACAAGGGAACTGCTTTTCTCTTTGTTCTATGTTTACATGCAATTAAGAGATGAGCCTGAGCTGGAAAATGCAAGGCTGGATTTAGATATCACTGTATTTAGATGTTCTCTGTATCCAGGTTCTGACAGACTTATGTGCATGGGCATGTGGCTACCTTTTGGAGAAACTGGTGTGTGTGTGTATAAATATATATACATATCCACCTGCCTTTAGACACACAGAAAGCTGCCATCTCCTCCAGTAGATTCATTTTATAGTGCAGGTAAGTGTATGCACTGAAGCCTGGCAGGGCAGGGAGGCTTGTGGTGCTTGCACAGAGAGGGAAAGTGCAGAGGGAGCAAGTGTGGGAGGAGGGAAGCAGAAAAAATGTAATGGGAGCATGAGTTTCTTTGGAGAGAAACTGGACTTGACAGGAGCAGCATAGCCCGGATGCTTGAGTGAGAAGAGGCTGGGACCAAAGCAACACAGACTGGGAGAGCAACAGCTTGGGAAGTGTGTGGTAGCTGTGGAAGCTGTGGCCTGGATTAGGGGGAGCGAGAACAGGGAAAGGGAATTGGGTTTCTGGGGAGGGGATTTTGGTACCTGGTTCCTTTCTCTAGGTAGAATGCGTTACATGGTGCTCCTTGGTGCGCAGCTCAGGTATGCTCTGTTGCTTTCTGCTTCTGAAAGCAGCTGAATTTAATCCTATGTGTTTCTGTCCCTAAAACTGAAATTAGGTTCTAGTCGCTGTTTAACTATGTCTTGTCCTTCTTTAGGGAGCTCACCTGGGAGCATACCTAGCGTAGGATTTTACAAATTGCCAACTTCTGATTCTTCAGTCTTTGTGATGTCACCCATAATATTGCCAGGATACAGAACAACAGAATGGTTGAGATTGGAAGGCACCTCTAGAGAACATCTAGTCCAATCCCTCTGCTCAAGCAGGGACACCCAGAGCACATGACACAGGGTGGCATCCAGGTGGATTTTGAAGATCTCCAGAGAAGGAGACTCCATAACCTCTCTGGACAGCCTGTTCCAGGGCTCTGTCACCCTCACAGTAAGGAAGTTCTTCCTTACATTGGGATGAAACCTCCTGTGTTTCAATCTGTACCCATCACCCCTTGTGCTGTCGCTGGCTACTACTGAAAAGAAGTTGGCCCCATCCTCTTTAGATCCTTGCCTCAGGTATTTGTACATGTTGACTTTAAATATGAGATGTATGGTGAACTAAGATGGGCGGTATGGAGATTAATGAGGTCATGCCTGCTCAAGATGCTAGGTTGAGTCTTAAAATTGTAAAAGTGAGGTTGAGAGTCTTTCTGGTTGGCTGAGCTATGGCAGAAGACCATCCACTACAGGCTGACTCAGGTCACATTGGATGTGGTCCTAAACTGTTGAACTTTTCATGGATAGCTCAGTATTTTAAGGAGGACCTAGATTAGATTATGTATTTCTTGTCTTTCAGTTATAGGAGACATGCTAATTTGTAGCCTGTATGACACTAGAATTTTTATCTTGCCACGTCCTTTGAGGATGAGAGTCTCTCTAACCCCAAACACCATTTTTGTGAGGGGGAAAGGTAGCTCCAATGTTCACTACAGAAAACCCCGGTGACAAAAGGAAAATTTAATTGTTTAGTGACTTGCTTAAATTGGTGATTATGATTTAGAATGTATCGGTATGAGACGCGACTTAGTGCCGTGCAGCCTGCAGCAGAACGAAGATGAACCTGGGGTCTATCTTGTTACGAGGGCATACGCTATATACTGAGAAACCAAGCTAGGTGCAAAGCATCCTCTATACTTGCTTTCTTTCTATAAGGGTCATCAAAGTAGTGTTCCTAAAATGTGCGTCTGTGGAGGTTTTTTCTTGTCTTTTTTGCTTCTCCTGCTAATGATGGTGGTGTATGTGGACAGGGAAACCAGCAGATAGCCTGTCATAAGGTGCTTTGTATTCAGTGCATGCGAACGATCGGACTCTGCTCTTCTGACGTTTCTTCCAGTAGTCATGTGTGTATTTAAGTTTCTGTGTATATTTAAAAGACAACCTTTGTGGCTGTATTTTTAAATATTTTAAATATTAGCCTTTACAGAATGGCTGAAGGTCAATTTATTTGTAAAATAGTTGATACTTCAAGCGGATCGTATTCCGACTCCCTAGATACGTGTCGCTAGCGCTGGTGAGGGTGACTCTGCAGTTGGCCTTAGAGGGAACCCGGTGGCGTGCAGGGGGTGTCGGACCCGGCTCCCGCTCCCTCCGCGGGGCTGGAGCGGCACCAGGAGCCCGGGCCCTGGGGTCCTGCCCGGCCTGGGGTTGCCCCCTCGGCCGCTTCCCGCTCGTCCCCGCTCTGGTTTTAAGGATCTCTGTGGCTGTTCGGTAGGATTTTGTGCAGAATGTTAATATGCAGAGTTTACGGTGCCTTTTAACAATACCCAGACTAGCAAAAAAAAAAAAATCATAAAACTGAAGTTGTGTGGCTCATCAAATTCGCATTTGAAAAGAAAACATGCAGTTCGTGGCAAAGCTCAGATGTGTTACTTCTATTCAGTGCTTCATGTCCAGTCTAATGGCCTCCTCTGAGCCATCTCTAGCCTTGCTCCATGTTCTGAACCTGGACACAACTTGCCTTATGTATTTCTGCAAACTTACTTTTTTGGGTTGCTGGAATCCCATGTTATATTTAATTCCTAAACAAAGAAAGAAATCGCAGTCATTATTTAGTAATGATACAAACAACAGTCTGATATTCTTGTGACTGTGTCTTCTCCTTAACTCGGAGAGCAGGAACAAGCTCTTTTAGTGCAATGAAATACAGGCGAATGATGAATCAAAATTAATTTATAATTCATAGTAACAATATTCCTCTTTATATCTGTCAAAAGCAATTGCAAAAGAGATTAAATGTCATTGCCTCCTCTTTTACAGATGAGGAAGCTGAGATGGAGAGAGGAGTCATCTGCTTAACCCCAGTTAATAGACTCGTTAGCAGAACTAGAAGCAGCTGGAGCTCCTGCTTCCAGGTCAGTGCTCTAGAAAAGTCTCCTCTCTGTACTTACCTAAAGATGATGCTTGATTTGCCAAACTTTGGACCCTACGGTATGTGTTTGTATTCGCTTTTCACCAAATGCTATTTTTTGCCGTTAAACCTACACAGTGTATAGTGGAATTATGTGTAAATATTTGTGGAGTTTTGGAAGACAAAAAAACACAACTATTTTACCAAATCTTCTGACTTTATAGTGAAGGCTACTTGAAAATATAGCAGTAAATATATGAAAAGCCTAGCAAATTTGCTAATTTCTTGCTGCTTTTAGCTCTTTAATGCAGTCTGTTGCTTCAGATTTGAAGATACATTGGAAAAAAACACTTAAGTGAAATTATGTTGTGCAGATCTATGCTGCTAATTGCATTTAAATTTAAAGTTATACTGCATCTTTGCTCTTTTGGCACTTTGCACCTAACATCTAGAAATTAACACAGATTATAAGATTTTGCTACAAGAAAAAAAAGGTACCTATTGCACCCAGGTAGTGTTAGCCATTATTAAATGTTTGGTGCCAGCCATGACAATGACGAATGTCTCAGTAGTGCTCAGACAGAAGAAATAGCAGAGACAGAATCCTTCTAACAACTGCATGTGATTTATGGCTGTTTTCATGTGGTGTATGCACACAGCCATGATTTTGCAGACCTGAGCTTGGCCTATGTTTCATGCCTGCTGTTGTCTGTCTTGAAATACGAGGCTTGTGCTTCATCCCGTCCTACCATACAGTCAGTCCCATTGTGAGCCTTTTTTCTTTTGTCTACTAGCAATACAATAAAATAGCCTTCATCTTCCCTCTGTGATATTATATAGCTTTGCCTGTTTCCCTTCTTCTCTGTTTCAAGGTCTTCAAGACCTAGTTTTCATTTGCCTCTGGTGTTTTTTGCTGTGCTGGGGCTACTATATAGCTGAAATTTTTTTTTTTAATATAAATGAAAATTTCAAGCCTGCATTTGTGGTCCCTTCTTTTTAATGTGCTTCCATGAGCAGTGTATGCTACTTTGTGTCTCCTTAACTGATATGTGGAATACATACTGTGGAAGGGCCAGTAATAACATTGCACAAACATCTGTTGAGTGTCCTATGTTCATGTGTTCCAGCTTTTTGTTTTTGTTTGGTACTTAATCAAGTAGTACTTAGTCAAGGATGAATAGTAGGTTAACACCAAGAATTCTGATTAGTATGAAGAAATCTCTATGTTGAAAAATGTGTGTGTTTTTTTTTTTCTTCCAGAATATTGTTCATATCATTTAAAATAGTCAAAAAGATAGAAAAAGAAAATCACTAGTTTAGAGAACTGCCCAGTTCTGATCTGAAGTTGTTCCTGTGTCTAACTGTTTACATGTCTGAGTTGACAATTTTTCTACCTAAAAGAGTGTTATTTCTTTTTAAGGCTGTCACTATTGTAAACTACTAGATCTCCTACATATAAAAAAAAGTGTACTCTGCATGTGGAATGTTTTTTATATTTAGAAATCTCCTGTCCAAAAATTTTGTTTTTAAAATTGAGGCCCAAAAGAACAAACTCTGTGGTCGTACAGATGTTTTTCTTGTATTTTATGAGTTTTAGATGAAGTATTTGACAGAAAATACTTGAGTACTATTCTAAGCCACATATGTGCTACTTAATTTAAATACAGACCAGAAAAGGCAGTGCCAGTGAGGCAAGGCAAAGAAAGCTTAGCAAAGCTGTAGGACATCTAAAAGGGCATGTTAAAAAGCAGGTGAATCTACACATTGAACATCTTTGAGTCCACACTGAAGCTGCAAGTACAGTTTCTCTTTCTGTGGATGAGGTAACATGCTTTAAGCTCTTGTCAAAGGTTCTTGTCTAGAAGTTTCTGATGCTATTGTCCAATCTTCCTCTCTTCGTACTAATTATTTTAATGGTGATGTAAATAAATCATACTGTGTCCTCTGTGGATGGCAGGGGGCATTGCAATTTTTGTAGTCAGGTCTTGGGATATCAAATGCTTGACTTAATGAAATCTTCATATTAGTGCTGAGTTCTACTCTGAAAAAATTAAAACCAGACTTCTACAGTGAGTCTTTAGGGTGAGTCGTCTGGATTAAAATGCAGATATCTGACTTCTATCAGGATATTTAATTCTCCACACTGCAGATAATTCCTTGGGCAGCAGGACATCCTTCATCCATTGCAGGTTAAAGTTTCAAGACCCAGATGCTGCTGCACATCATTGTCATGACAGAGAACTTGAGCATTTTGTGCTTCCATGGTGCATTGTTAGTGCTTCCTCAGATGCTATGATTGGCTTGTCTTGTGCTTGGTGACCATCTGATGTTTTTGATCAGATTAGCATTTGATAGTTTTTTTTGTATTTTCTCTGCTCACGTTCATACTATTATTACTTGCAATAACTTCCTTCCCCTCACTTTTCGTTCCCATGAAAAGAATTCTCGGTGTCTTCTCAGTTTGTGATCCAGTGGTTTTTGAGAGTGCAACAAAAGCTGAGCTTCCTAATACTTTGCAGAACCAAGAATGTCTGCATTTTTCCTAACTAAATTAATTGATCCTTCTTTGGAACCTGCTGGTATTTTATCACATCTTCTTGTTGGCAATGTTGTTCAGGGGGAGGAAATTGTCTTAGAAGGAAAATCTAGGTGGGGTATTTCACACTTTTGAGGGAGATGATAATTAGCAACATCTGACAAGACTGCATTTCTTATTGTAAGAAATATGTTGCATTTAAAATGCCAGGTTTATAGAAAATAACTGCAATCCAGAAAGGCAAATTTAAATGAAACTATATTTACCTTTTTTTAAACAGGAATGGTAAATCAGAGAGTTAAGCCTTTTTTATGTTCTCAGGCTTTCTCATGTTTCTAGTATGTTATAGTTATGCCATTATGCTTAATAGCAAGGATCTTGATTCTTAAGTCCATCTTGCAGAGCTAAAGAAATGCAAATTAACAAATTTGGATCTTTTATCCATGTATAGATGAATTCACTAGGAGCAATGGTTAGAATATTTCTCTGGTTATTTCTCAGGCCCTAAGCAGAAGTAGAAGAACAAATTCCTTTAGATCCCCAACCAATTAAAGTGTTGCTGTGGGTTCTTGGTGAGTCCTGCTGCCTACCTATCTGTAGTTACTTTGTTAGCTAAATACTTTTTTGAAATTATGATCTTGCTCTGTCCAGAAATGCAGGTACATATGCAGACTTTGTAATGAGACTTCTTCACCTGTCTTCTACACTACTGTTTAGACCCAAAGTTATTTGAAGAGGAGACTTTTGTATCACTTACAATGCAGAATCCCAATACCTGCTTGCCTTGTGACATGCTGATGGAGAGGTACATACTACTGTTCTACCCTAGATCCTTGGCTAAATTTGCATTCGATTTTTACTTGTTATGTCTCCTTGATAACTAATAAAATAACCTTTATAATGTAAGTGTAATTGAAAGAATACAAGAACTTCCTGCTTGTAAATGTATTATGAAGAAGGTACCACTGCTTGCTTACTTTCTTTTCTTTGTTATTTAGACATCCTAATTAGAGTGACATTTTCTGACTTAATTTATATTCGGTAAGAATTCTACAAAGAAAGCAGAAAAGCCAAGTATGTGCCATTACATTCCCCATTCCGTCTGTAGACCTATCCCTGGGAATATCATTAATTAGCATCGTTAGCTTTCAGGCACAGTCAGCAGTTACTTGCAATTCCTACTTAATACCTTTCTGTTGGTCTCCATGTCACATTGAATATTTGCATAGACGGCCTTCATACTATGACTTTGACAAGGATGTTGCACTCAGTTCAGGTTTGTTTATTTTATTAAAAAAGCTAAGGTTTAAAATATAATGCTGCATTTATACTTAGCAGCTTGTAGGAACTCTCCAGGTAACAAGTGGAGTTCCAGTGCAATCTCAAAGCAAGCACCAGATGTGACCCACGACTGTATTGGAGGAGCCAGAATAGCTCACCTAGAATACCAGAAATGCTTCAAAAATTGTGTAAGTAGAGCACTAAAGATTCAGTGGCCTTCAGTAGAAAGGGAAGACAAAGTCAGAACTACTTTCATGTAACTGCTTCTAGAGAGATTTTTTTGGGGAAGGGGGAAGTGTAGCTGGAAAGTAGGGAGAAGGTTGCAGGTAAAACTCCACGGGTAGATCTGCCCAGATACATCTCTGAGGGTTGGAGCTCACAGGTTTAATAGACTGACCTGGCATCAAATACCACAGTTTTGCACCCAAATGCTGTATCTGGGCTAGACCAGTTGGGCTAGAGTTGGCCTTCTGTTTTCCCTTTTTCCTAGTTAACTGTTGACAATCCTCTGTAGAGGAGATCCAGTATGTAACTCTTCAGTTAAAACATCTGCATGTCTGCTACAAAATATGGTGTTAGAAGGGTGCTATTTGGACTAAATTTGAATCTTCTCCTGTGAGAAGCAAAAGGGAGATGATGGTTCTGGGGAAGCTGAGCGTGAAGCATTGAACTTTTATTCCTGACTAATAAGCAATAAAATTCAGTGGTGACTTTCTCTAGTCATTAGTAGACAGAGGCTGGAAGAGTCCCACTACTCTCCACCACTGCGAACTCGCTGTCTCTTAATCCAGAACTCCCTTGCACTGCTTGGCCAGGAAGTTTTAGTGATTGCAGTCTTTCCTTTGGAGGAGGAG